AGATCTGAATGCAAAAGGTAAAAACTATACATTAGGCTGGGCGCGGTGGCCCACGCCTGTAATCCCAGCACTTTGGGAGGCCAAGGCGGGCGGATCACGAGGTCAGGAGATTGAGACCATCCTGGCTAACATGGTGAAACTCCGTCTCTAATAAAAATACAAAAAATTAGCCAGGTTTGGTGGTGGGCGCCTGTAGTCCCAGCTACTTGGGAGGCTGAGGCAGGAGGATGGCGTGAACCCGGGAGGCGGAGTTTGCAGTGAGCTGAGATCGTGCTACTGCACTCCAGCCTGGGTGACAGAGCGAGACCCCGTCTCAAAAAACAAACAAACAAAAACAACTATACATTAAAAGATAAGGCAAAAAAGGTGATGTTGGGCAAGGCACGGTGGCTCACGCCTGTAATCCCAACACTTTGGGAGGCCGAGGCAGGTGGATCACCTGAGGTCAGGAGTTCAAGACCAGCCTGACCAACATGGAGAAACCCCATCTCTACTAAAAATACAAAAAATTAGCTGGGCGTGGTGGTGCATGCCTGTAATCCCAGCTACTTGGGAGGCTGAGGCAGGAGAATCTCTTGAACCCAGGAGGTGGAGGTTGCGGTGAGCCGAGATTGTGCCATTGCACTCCAGCCTGGGCAACAAGAGTGAAACTCTGTCTCCAAAAAAAAAAAAAAAAAAAAACAGTGATGTCAGCACATCAAAATTAACAACAGGCATCTACTCTTCGGGGAATTATTAAGTAAAATGCAGTAGACATGCCCCATGATGCCCTTGCCAGCAACTGGAAACAAAGCAGTAACATACACATGGCAATACAGACAGATGTCAAAAATACAGCACTGTGCTGGGTGCAGTGGCTCATGCCCGTAATCTCAGCACTTTGGGAGGATCACGTGAGGTCAAGAGTTCGAGACCAGCCTGACCAACATGGAGAAACCCCATCTCTACTAAATATACAAAATTAGTCGGGCATGGTGGTGCACGCCTGTAATTCCAGCTACTTGGGAGGCTGAGGCAGGAGAATTACTTGAACCTCGGAGACAGAGATTGCGGTGAGCCGAGATTGTGCCATTGTACTCCAGCCTGGGCGACAAGAGTGAAACTCCGTCTCAAAATAAACAAACAACAACAACAACAAAAAAACAGCACTGTTGGCCAGTTACAGTGGCTCATGCCTTTAATCCCAGCACTTTGGGAGGCCAAGGCAGGAGAATTGCCTGAGCCCAGGAGTTTGAGACCAGCCTGGGCAACATAGAGACACCCTGTCTCAAAACAAAAAACAAAAAACAAAAAAAACCTCCCACTCTAAGTAATACAAAGTTCAGGAAACAAAATGAAAACGGTGGCACTATGCCATGTGTGTCAACTGAAAACACAGTTGCTCAAAACAACACTTCATATTTCCATTTTCTATGACAATGTATCTATATGATACATTTATATATGTATGTATATTTATATGATACATGTATCTATATGATACATTTGTATATGTATGTATATTTATATGATACATGTATCTATGATACATTTATATGAAAACAATGTATAAAATAAATCTGATACATTTTCTATGATATGTATCATAGAAGGATACATATCAAACACACAGAGCAGCTGCCCACAGAGGTGCGAATTGGGAATAAAATGAAGAAATAAACGTGGCAAGAGGAAGCCTTGTGCTGACCTATGACAAAAACCTACCTTGAACTGGAAAGTATGATGAATTCAAACCTCTGCACTTGAGGGCTTTTAAAAGTCAATGGATTTACTTGGTAATAAAGTCTGAACAAAGTATGTATGTCAGCTACTCAAATTCAGAAATGGCCACAGTGCACTTCTAGTGAATACCATCCAAAATCAAATGTCTTTCAAAAAACATTTCTAATGAAAGCCAAGACTGAATAACACTAGGTGATGACCTTATCTCAAATTTGGGCTCACTTTTCAGAAAACAAAATATTACAATTCTACATTTTTAAAAGGGGTGGTGGTAGAGGAAACCCTTTGTAAGACATTTTAAAAATTATTTTCTCTTTTTATGAAGCTATCGACTCTTGAGTCTTAATAGAGGCTTTCTGGGAGAGTTAAGTCTGCTTTTCTAGGCAATCTTCAAGTGTCATGGCTGGGTTACCTGCCTCGGAATCACCTGGATGGCAAGGGATCACTGAATTTTACTCAGGATTTCTGTATTTTACCCAGTGTTCCGGCTATTCCTTGTTCATAGCAGAGCTGAAGAAATAACTATCTGAGAGTATCCATTCCAAGCAAGTATCATGCCAACTGTAGCCCATACTGTCCCTGGAATCTCCCACTATCTAACCTGACTTGTTCCCTAGTGGTACTGGGCAAATCCTGACTCTGATGGTGCCATTCCCACCCATCCCTCATACCCCAGGCTATAGCCCCAACCTCAACCTCCCACCTGTTAACTGCATAGCCTCACTGCGACACCATGAGTACTGAGAAGGATACAATCTCATGTCTCATTCATCACTGCACTCTCAGAGCCCAGCACAAGTCCTGGCTCACAACAGGTGCCAAATACCTGTCTGCTGAAAAGAAACTCCTCATCTGCTATTGCTGTTTCCTCTACCCAGAAGCCCCAACCTAGCACCTTCTTGGATCAATTCTCACATAGAGGCAAGCCTAGGCTGTTTGGGAGGCTGGGAACGGGCAACTCACCGTCTTTCATACTCCATGTCCTGATAGGGCCTTCGGGGGCTGCTGGGGCCCCTCCTCAGCCGCTGGCTCCGTTTCACTTCCCAGCCACCCCCGCTGCTGCTACCATGATCTGCCAGCCTGGGTGATGCTTCCTGCAGGGACTCTGCGGAGAATAGAGGGAAAAAAGGGGTCAAAACAGTTGGGACAGAGAAGGCCTCCTTGAGAAACCCTCGTTGTCAAGGCTCTTTGCCGCCCCTTAGCCCAGGGACGTTGTCTTCTAGCTCCCAGCACTCCTGTGCATCATAGTGTGAAGGTAGCCCCTACTTGGCCTGCTCCTCCCTTTCCCCGCAAACATGAGGCTAGAGCCCACTGCCTTAGAAAACAGCAAAGACTTCAGCAGACAGGGAGCATCTTGCAGAGAGAACTGGCGGGGCCACCCACGGTGTGATCAGGGCTTTGCCACCTAAGACAGGTAGACAAATTCAAGCCTGGGGCTGCATCCCAGGGTGGCGGTACAGATACTCTCAGGGCTGAAAGTCTTGCCTGAGATTCAGCACATCAGGCAAGACTTCACAACAATGGGGGCCCCAGGCACCCACCAGGCTCCTTCCATGGGCCCCAAGGGACCATCTCATCCTCCCAACAAGCTGCTGGCTGTCCCCTATAAGGCAGCAAAAGACCATGAAAGGTTCTTGGGGGTGTGTATGAAGGGGCTAACTTGGCAACGAGACAGCTGCTACTTCCCTGGGCTCCTGGCCAACACAGCCTTGGCCCTCACACAGCAACTGGCTCAGCCCTGAGCCCTGTCTCCTATGTGCAGCCAGGTCCCAAGGTGATTCCCTCCCCAGGGCTCAAGCCCGTTTTCCAGAGGCAAAAGGGGCCCTTTTGGAGGCTGTTCTGAACCACTGTGCTCTTCTACTGGGATGGAGCAGCAGCCACTTCATCCAACCCTCAGGGCTGTGGTGAGAACTCAAGGAGTCCTGAGAACCCTGTGACCCAGCCAGAGGTCAGGATGAATCCCAGATCTTCAGGCTCCACCCTCTGAACAGGAATCAGGTAAAGCCAGGCAAAAATAGCACCTGCCCAACACTAGGTTGCTGCCACGCCTTTGCTCTATGTGCGTGCACATACACACACACAGACACATGCACATTCCAACTTTCTCTTCCTCCTCAAGCCACAGGGAACCCGAATTACCTGCTCCCAGGTGGGCAAGAGTTAGAATCACACCAGAGGCACTGGCGGCTGAGAGCACAAAAACCCTCAAGAGACTCTGACAAAGGGGCCAGAGTCACACAGTAACATCCACCACAGCCAAGGGCCAGTCACAGACACGAGCCCCAAATAACTATGGGCCCACATCACAGAAGGAATCCACAGTAAGGACCACAATTACACACTAGGTCCCCGTTCCATGGATGAGCGTCACTCTCACAAACTCCCCAAAAGAAGGGGCAATGAGTCACACACACATTCCCTGCATCCCCCTCCCCACCCAATAAGTGGGTTAGGGTCAATCACAAGACAGTCGTCCCCCAAGCCCCGCCCCATGGATAAGGATCTGAGTCACAGACACCCTCCCTCAAAGGGTAAAGACCAGAGCCACATCCTCCCTCTGATCCCCCAGGAGTAAAGACCAGAACCACAGAATATTTCCCAATGGATCGATAAACACCAGAGTAACACAGAGCAGCATCCCCTCTCCTATGCACAAGTCGCAGACAACCGCTTCCCCACTGATAAACTTCGGTGTAGCAGACACAGTGATCCACAGTAGCCCACTCCCATTCGTCCCTCCCTTCCCCCAACCCGCACGCACCCATCCCATGTCCCAGTCGCGCACGCGCCTTTGCTCACACCAAAAAAAAAAAAAAAACCACCAAAAAAAAAAAAAAAAAACACCACAAAAAAAAAAAAAAAAAAAAACCCTCCCGGGTAGAGACATTGCACGAACCCCTCCGTTCCGCGCATCCCACCGACCCGAAGTCCGCCCTCGCGCCTCCTCTACGTCCCCGCCCCGGGCCCCTTACCTCCGCCCCCACGACCAGCGTCGACGCTCACCTTCTCGGCCCGGGCTGTCAAGGGAGGGCTCCCAGACATCACCTCGGCCCGCCGCCACCTCCTCCAACTCTCCCAGCTCAGCCGGAGCCGGAGCGCGCAACTACCAAGTCCGAGACTGCAGGCAGATCGGGGGGAGGGGAGAAGCGCCAAGCGCGCTGCCCTCCCAAGGAAACTCACTGCCGCCTACTCCCAGCCGGCCACAGTCACCAGCTCAAAATGGCGACGACGAGAAGGGAGTCGGCGCTCCGACCACCATCCACCTACTAAGGAAGCGCGCTCTGGCCGGCCCCGGCGATTGGTCACCGCCCGCCAGGGGACAGCCCTGGCCTCCTCTGATTGGCAAGCGCTGGCCACCTCCCCACACCTCCCCACACCCGTGCGAACGCTCCCCTAGTAGAGAAAAGAAGTAGCTATTGGCCAATCCGGCAGGGCCCGCTTTTTAGAAGCTTGATTTCCTTTGAAGATGAAAGACTAGCGGAAGCTCCACCTCTTTCCCCAAAGGGCGAGGGAACTCTGGGCGATTGGCTGGGAACTATATCCACCCAGTGTCACCGATTTCTTCCTATCCAGGAAATGAGCAGATCCATCAATAAGAAATTTCTCAGCCTGGCCGAAAGGGGGAGAGAATGGTTGGCCCCACGAAGCCACGACAACTGGAGGCAAAGAGGGTTGCTCAACGCCCCGCCTCACTGGAAAACAAAATCAGATCTGGGACCTATATAGCGTGGCGGAGGCGGAGCGATAATTGTCGCGCTCTCACCCACTGCAGCTGCGCACAGTCGCATTTCCGTCCCCGCCCCTCAGACCCTGCAGCACCATCTGTCATGGCGGCTGGGCTGTTTGGTTTGAGCGCTCGCCGTCTTTTGGCGGCAGCGGCAACGCGAGGGCTCCCGGCCGCCCGCGTCCGCTGGGAATCTAGCTTCTCCAGGACTGTGGTCGCCCCGTCCGCTGTGGCGAGAAAGCGGGCCCCGGAACCGACCACACAGTGGCAAGAGGACCCAGAACCCGAAGACGAAAACTTGTATGAGACGGTAAGAGGCGGGGGGGTGGGGGGGGGGACGGAACCCTGAAGGGGTCAATCCGGGATCGGCTGGTGGGGCGCTGTAGAGGACGTTCTTAGGCAGTAGAGTCCTGCGCGGCCGGCGAAAGCCTAGAAGACTTGGGAATTTTGCCTATCTTGTGTTCCTCCTTTATCTGTGGATATCCGCGTTCCAGGGCCAGGGGCAGGACTGGTTTTATTTTGCAGACAGAAATCATGCCTCAAGTGGACAGCGCTCAAAACGCATTAGAAGCAATATAGTACAACAACGATAATACTAAACACCGATATGGCACTTGCTCGTTGCTGTCTGTGTTCTTTTTTTGTTTAGAGACGAGATCTCGCTCTGTTGCCCAGGCTGGTCTCGAACTCCTGGCTCAAGCGATCCTCCCGCCTCGGCCTCCCAAGGTGCTGGGATTACAGGCATGAGCCACCGCTCTGGGCCCCATCTGTGTTCTAAACACTTGATATGCATTAGCTCATCTTATCCTCAAAATAAACCCCATTTCGAGGTAGGCACTATTATTATACTCATCCTACAGATAAGGAAACTGAGGCACAGAGCTATTAAGTAGATTGCCCTAGCTCACATAACTGAATACATGGTGGAGGTGGAACTGGTATTTGAAATTAGGGCTACCAGGTCTGCTGTGCTGTATTAATAGCAGACGCTGTGAAATCAGGCAGCACTGACAGTTACCTACCCATGTGACTTTGGTGGCATAAACCCTTGGTGCCTCAGTTTCTTTGTCTGTAAGATGGGAACAGTAATAGGACACCTAAAAAGTAAGACACCCCACCTGCCTCATGTGATTAAATGAGTAAAAATGGTCGGAACAGCAGCTGGCACTTCGTAAGTATGTACTCAGCACTAGAATGTGTTATTATTGCCATGTTTCATCTCACTGAGATTTTGTGAGGTTTGTCTATGTGAAAAGACTGGCACATAGTAAGTACTTCAGCAATACTAACCTCTGGTTAAGGGGCTTGGATGTATAGGATGCTCGTTCATTCTGTAAATATGTATTGAGGGCCTGCTGTGTGCCAGGCTCAGTTCAGAGCCCTGGGGATACAGCAGTGTGGAAATCAGACAAAGCCCATGCTCTCATAGAGCTTACATGATAGTGCAGAAGACAGAAAATAAACACGTAAAATATTAAAAAACAATAATACAGCGTAGTATAATAGATAGTATAATGTGAGAATGTATGATATACAGAGAATGGGGAAGGTGTGCTACTTAGGTAAACATAGGCTAGAAAGAGACAGGGAAGGAAGAGAGGATGTGAAGACAAAGTTAGGCAAGGTAAGTGGATAGAGGATGACTTGGGTGTAGGGGGCTATTTCATTAGGTTGAGCCATAAGAAATTGCCAGTATTCAACTATTTGTGACCTATAAAAATAGCAGTTTCCTATGCTTCAACTTTGAAAGACAAGGTAACTAGGGAGTGCCTCCTGAAGGAAGTGGTGATGAATCCAAAATGTTGAATGAGGAGACAGATCCAGCCATGACTAGAGCTGGAAGAAAGGCTTTCCAGGCAAAGACAGCAGCAAGTGCAGTGGTTCTGCGGTGGGAAGGAGCTTGACGTATCCCAAGAATGGAAACAGAGGAATTTAGTGAGAGGGGCGTATGGAGACCAAGTTATGCAGGGCCAGAATAAGGCTTTGTGGAGCAGCAGGAAGCCCTCATTGACCTCTCTTTCTCCACAGAACCCAGACTCCCATGGTTATGACAAGGACCCCGTTTTAGACGTCTGGAACATGCGAGTTGTCTTCTTCTTTGGCGTCTCCGTCGTCCTGGTCCTTGGCAGCACCTATGTGGCCTATCTGCCTGACTACAGGTGCATGGGGTGTCCAAGAGCGTGGGATGGGTAGGAGCCCGAGGCAGGGATGGAGGTTGAAGGGGACTCTGCAGGAGTCTTATTCCTGCACCATTGGGAATAGGGAGCTGAGATGAGGGATTGGTGTCAATTGAGGCTCCCTCACGTCTACCCCTGCTATTTGCACTGCCAGGATGAAAGAGTGGTCCCGCCGCGAAGCTGAGAGACTTGTGAAATACCGAGAGGCCAATGGCCTTCCCCTCATGGAATCCAACTACTTCGACCCCAGCAAGATCCAGCTGCCAGAGGATGAGTGACCAGTTGCTGAGTGGGGCTCAAGAAGTACCACCTTCCCCACCTCCTGCCTGCCATTCTGACCTCTTCTCAGAGCACCTAATTAAAGGGGCTGAAAGTCCGACTCGCTAATGTTGATTGTGTTGTGAAGGGGATATGGGGTAGGGGTGTCAGAAGCTTTAAAAGGGCTGCTGCAGCCTTCCCTGGGTGTTCCGGCTATATATTGCTGTGTGACAAACACCTTAAAACTTAGTGACTTAAGACCACAATTCAGTCTTCTCTTTCATGGCCCTGTGGGTTGACTGGGCTCAGTAAGGTGGCTCTTCTTGGGGTCTCAGGTAGTTGTAGTTAGATGGTGGCTGGGACTGGAGTCATATGAAGGCTCAACTGGGCTGGGTGTCTAAGATGGCTTCTTCACTCACATGTCTGGCACTTCAGTCCTCTTCCATATGGCCTCTCTCCAGCAGAACAGCCTTGACTTTTTTTTTTTTTTTTTTTTTAGACGGAGCCTTGCTCTGTCACCCAGGCTGGAGTACAGTGGCATGATCTCTGCTCACTGCAACCTCTGCCTCCCGGGTTCAAGCGATTCTCCTGCCTCAGCCTCCAGAGTAGTTGGGACAACAGGCGCCTGCCACCACACCCAGCTAATTTTTTGTATTTTTAGTAGAGACAGGGTTTCATCATGTTGGCCAGGATGGTCTCGATCTCCTGACCTCGTGATCCGCCCGCCTTGGCCTCCCAAAGTGCTGGGATTACAGGCGTGAGCCACCGTGCCCAGCCTCTTTTTTTTTAAGAAGGAGTTTTGCTCTCGTCACCCAGCTGGAGTACAATGGCATGATCTCGGCTCACTGCAACCTCCGCCTCCCAGGTTCAAGCAATTCTGCTGCAGCCTCCTGAGTAGCTGGGATTACAGATGCCCACCCCATGCCCAACTAATTTTTCTATTTTTAGTAGAGATGGGGTTTCACCATGTTGGCCAGGCTGGTTTTCGAACTCCTGACCTCAGATCATCCACCTGCCTCAGCTTCCCAAAGTGCTGGGATTACAGGCATGAGCCACTGCACCCAGCCTAACCTTGGCTTCTTACATGATGGCTTGGGACTCCTCTGGATGAGAGTGTGGCACATGGGAAGAAATTGTTGGCACCTATCTTTAGAGCCAGACCACCTCACTGGGACCTCCTATGTTTGAAGAGAGGCCAGGGCAACCAGGGATTAAGGTGGAGAGTGAGTGCAGGGCTTTCTGTTGCTAAGGGTGGGTGTTTTGTCTCTCCTCCCTGTGTTCTCTGCTTCTCTCTGAGCTTTGGGTTTTGCCGCTGTCCTGTGTGTTTTGCCCCTGTCCTGTGTGTTGGTGAGTCTGGTTGCCTGTGTTCCCTTCTGCCCCAAATCTGGATGACTTCTAACTCAAGATATGCATCTGTATGTGTGTGTATGTATGTGCATGTGGGTCTGCTTCTCTCCTCACCCCCTTTCCTCTCTTTGTCTTTCTGTGTCTCGAAATCAAGAAGTCTTTTCTCCCATACTTTCTTCCTCTGTGGAAATAGGCTGTCTCCTTGCACCAGGGTTGCTGTCTCTCAGTCTGGCAGATGGAGTAGGGGACTTGTTCTGGCCCTGGCTGAGTTTGTTTCTTTCAGAGGCATCTCTGTTAAGTGTGGGCTTCTCTTCACCCTCCTGGCATCTCTTCCTTCCACAGCTCCCACATTCAAATCACCACCTCATGTATTCATTGCTACCATCTCTGTGCTTGTCCCTGCCTGGGGCTTCGAAGGGTATAGGAGCCTCCAGCCACTGGCTACAGGAAGGAAATCTGGCTTGCCAAATTCACCACTAGAGGCAATGCCCTACTTCTAGCTACTGGGTCTCAGGAGAGCCCAAATCCACTTACATGTGGCTGAGGGAGGAGCCATATCTGCATGAGCCTTCCTGCAAGTGAGGAAGACCCTGAGGGCTTCCCCTGCCCCAGTGATGCTTCGTGGGACCAGTCTCCCAACTCGAGTGTACCCCAAAGCAGAGAGTACTGATGTGTAAAGGGAGTACTCTCTACCCTCCCCCCTGAAGTTAGTGGGACTATGGAAGTGAAAGGGGCATGTTACCCCAGCCACCAAGTACCTGGGTATATTGGAGCAATAACCCCTATAATAAGCCTCAGCCTGGTGCCCAGAGAGCACATTCTCTCCACTCCCCACCAGGATGTAAATTCCAGAAGGGCAGGTATTCACATATGTTCTATTCACTTAGAGCAGTGACTGGCACGGTATGTGCTTGATAAACATTTGGTATTGATACCTCCTGTGTAGGTGACATCCCATCCCCATCCTTGCCTTCTGGCTTACACCCCCTGAGGATGAACACTTCTCATTCCCCTCTGCTCTGCCTCATCAAACTCTAGGGCTCTCCAGAAGCCTCCATTCTGGTCAAACAAAAGGCTGCACTTAGACTTAATCCTAAAATCCAAGCCCTGGCCCCATTCTGACTACAATACTACCTTCCCCTCCCTCATCGTGACCCAGCCACACTGGCTGACTCTTTATAAATGATTGAATTAAAATATACATGCAGAAAAGCACACAAAGCTCATTTACTTTTTATAAATTGGGCACACCCATATAACCAGCACTTAGGTCAAGAAACATACTTTGGGAGGCAGAGGCGGATTGATGTTTTGAGCTTGGGAGTTTGAGACCAGCTTGGGCAACATGGTGAAACCTCGTCTACAAAAAATACAAAAATTAACGAGGCTTGATGGTCCCAGCTACTAAGGGTGTTGAGGTGGGAGGATCGCTTGAGCCTAGGAGGCAAACGTTGCAGTGAGCCGAGATCGCACCATGCCACTGCACTCCAGCCTGGGCCACAGAGTGAGACCCTGTCTCAAAAACAGACAAACAAAAATCACAACATGATAAACCCCAGAAGCTCCCTTCAGGTCTTCCCTCTTCCCCACCAAAGGTAGCCATTCTCCTGACTTCTAACAATGTTAGGTTACTTTGGTCTGGTTTTGTGTCCAGTTTCTTTCATTCTGCACAATGTTTGTGAGACTGATCAACATCATCACATACGTGAGTAGTTAGTTCATCCTCATTGCTGTGGTCTATTTCATTGTATGAACAGACCAGACTTTAGCCATTCTTACGTTGCTGAGCATTTGAGTTGTTTTATATTTGGGGCTATTAAGAATTTTTTTTTCTTCTGAGACAGTCTTGCTCTGTTGCTCAGGCTGGAGTGCAGTGGTGTGATCTTGGCTCAGTGCAACCTCCACCTCCCGGGTTCGAGCATTTCTCGTGTCTCAGCCTCCTGAGTAGCTGGGGTTGCAGGCGTGAGCCACCAGGCCCTGCTAATTTTTGTATTTGTAGTAGAGAGAGGGTTTCACCAGGTTGGCCAGGCTGGTCTTGAACCCCTGACCTTAAGTGATCCACCTGCCTTGGCCTCCCAAAGTGCTGGGATTACAGGCGTGAGCCACTGTGCCTGGCTAAGAATAATTCCGTGAACATTCTTGTACACATCTTTTGATAGACATATGCATTCATTTCTTGGGTATATACCTAGGAATGGAATTGCTAAGTCATTGGGTAGACATGTGACCAATCAGCTTCAGTAAATCATGCCAATTTTCCAATCTACACTTTCCCAGAGGTGACTCCCCATCATTCGGCATTTCTGGTCTTTTTCACTGTAGCCATTCTGGTGGATGACCGAACTTTTTTTTTTTCTTTTCTTTTCTTGAGACAGGGTCTCGCTCTGTTGCCCAGGCTGGAATGCAGTGGCACGATCTCGGGTCACTGCAACCTCCTTCTCCCATGTTCAAACGATTCTCCTGCCTCAGCCTCCTGAGTGGCTGGAACTACAGGCACCCACCATCATGCCCGGCTCATTTTGTTTGTATTATTTTTTAGTAGAGACGGGGTTTCACCATGTTGGTCAGGCTGGGGATGGCTGACCTTGTAAGGACCACGTTGGGATGAAGAGGGAGGGACTGCCTACTGAGTGCCAAGCCCCAACAGTGTGCCCCAATGGTGTGCCAGGCACTGGTGGATATCAGGGTCCCTGCCCTTAGGAATTTCCCAGGATGAGGGCGGAGGCTGGTGGGGGTGGTCAGAGACCTTAACACAATGTTTTCACCCTGCTGTTCGACCCCAGGGACCTTTGAACTTTCATATTTTGGACGCAACTTTGTTCTGCCAACATAACAGATACCAGCCTCCTTTATCCTTCAATCTAATAGGACATTACCCAGAAAATAAAAATAGAACATCTTACCAGATTCACAGTGACTATTACCAATAAATGTAAGCACCGCAGAATAAACTGACAGCAGCCAAAACTGTGAACTTGAAACTGTATTGAGGGAAAAATTGATGGAAGTTTTTGATGTTCTCAACAAAATGTGGACCTGCAAATTTTGATCCTGAAATATTGGACTCAGTGGAAACTGTCCACAAACAAAGCTCAGAATGACAGGAGGTATTCATTCAACAAATATTTATTGAAGTGCCTACAGGACCCCAGGCACTCTATTGTTTTGTTTTTATTTTTGTTTTGAGATAGGGTCTTTCTCTGTTGCTCAGGCTGGAGTGCAGTGGCATGACCATGGCTAACTGCAGCCTGGACCCTGAACTCAAGCGATCCTCCTGCCCAGGCACTGTTATAGCCAAAGGGGACACAGCAGGGAACAAAAGATTTTAAAATGCCCGCCCTCATGGAGCCTGTATTACAGCTGGGAGAGACAGAAAATAAACAGCACAATTAATTTGTATATGATATGTATGTAGGGAAGTGGTAAGTATGGATTAAGTTAAAAATAAATCCAGGGGCTGGGTGTGGTGGCTCACACCTGTAATCTCAGCACTTTGGGAGGCTGAGGTGGGCAGATCATTTGAGGCCAGGAGCCTGAGGCCAGCCTGGGCAACTGGGCAACAGGGCGAAACCCTGTCCCTACTAAAAATACAAAAATTAGCTGGGCATGGTGTCACACGCCTGTAATCCCAGCTACTCGGAAGGCTGAGATGGAGAATCACTGGAGCCGGGGAGGCGAAGGTTGCAGTGAGCTGAGATTGGGCCACTGCACTCCAGCCCAGGTGACCGAGCAAGACCCTATTCCAAAAACAAATAAATAAATCAATCTGGTAAG